CTGGGTTTATTTTTTCTGATTTTCCATCAAATGCTAATGATAATTCTCCTATTTTAGACTTGAGGTCATTCATCTAAACAATAACACTTTTGCATTAATTCGATAATCAAAAGGCGCAATAGATTTGTCCATATCATATCACCAATCCACACATTTACATATAATATTGCGTATAGCACTTATTGGCATAAAGACTGAAACTAATTTTATAATGATATTAGAGAACAGCACACGCATTTTAGAATTATTGAGAGTATGATATGATAAAGCCTGCTCGAAGCATCGTCACGTTGATTTGTGGCCAGGATTTATGTTCCGAGTGCCATTATTATAACTATATTTCATGTGGTTTCAACCCATGTACATGTTCATGTCATGGTAGTCACAACTATTAATGAGCACTTAATACAGGTATTCTTACCATGGTGTGTGTAACAGCTGTCTTGTACATACGTATCAGCCTATCAAGTGCCTTCTCGCTGAAATAGAAACAAAATAGTCATTAATTTAATAATATGAAAATATGAAAGTATTATACTTTAGGCATTCAAGTGTATGTATCTAGATATATTAATGGTATATGCCATAACTGACAAATCCTATTTGTTATGTCGTTATTCTTAACAGATCCACACCCAGTAAGTCGTGTGTTTTGAACTTCTTTCCAACAGGAGTGTTAAAACTATATGTGAATTGTTGATTATTTAGCATGCATTATTAATTTATCATTATCGAATGGCGTGTTTCCAACAATTGTTTTGCCGTTGCTAAAGAAACCTGGTCTTGATATCGTCCAGTGTCAACTTTATCTTGTGTCTCAAAATCGATTAGAACGGTTGGCAAAGCAAGTACTGGCACATATCAAAGAGCATTCTATAGATAAATGTTTCAGGCTGCATACAAAAACTCTATAGCACCACAAAGTTATATTTTGACTGGTATGGGTGGCCAAAAAGTGTCCATCTTACTGTTTCTCGGTGGGCAAATGGTTAAATTACAGAGTGCAGAATGAGGCGACAAAGCCGGTATTTATAACGAACAAAATGATTGTTTCATCGGCTTCTGGGGAGATATAGTTTTAAAGATATTGTTTGTTTTCAAAGCTTGCCATGGTTAGATACCTAGGTATTGAGCCAACGTTTTAAACCCGGACACGCCTTTGAGATCCCGTCTTGGGCCACATCTGATTCATTGCTTTTTGTTCCAATGTCAACCTGTGGCGAAACGGCGTTTGCTGTATGGGGTCCACGACTTTGGGAAGCCTTGGCAAATTTCCAAAAGTAATGTCGTGGTCAATTTTAAAATTATGCTAAAAAGGAATTTGTTCAGAATGCCTGATTATATTTTGATTGTCTCTTGCTTAATTTCTTTAGTTATCCTTCTTATTGAGTTTAGTATTTGTAGTCATTATGTATTTATTTTGTTAGTTTTTGTACTTAATACCCTGCTGTAAAATACTGTGTTTTATATTTGCCACTTGTTTGTTATTCGCCCTTGATCAGTATCAATTCATGTAATTAAATTGTTATAATTGGAATAACTTACTTGATATTCAGTGAAGGCAATTTTGGTAAAAAGTCATTGCCAAGGAGGCAACATAAAAACACCCAGTCATCAATAGTTCGCTGTAGAATACAACAACAAAAGTAAACTTGGAATACCAGTAATGTTTATTTGAAATCAGGAGAATTATGCTTATTTCATCACATGAGGTCATCACTCAATTGGTAAGTGTATAGCCATGACGGAAGTTAACAAATACAAAGATATTGGATCTGTAAGATTCATTCACAGTGTGTAAAATATTATTGACAGGAATTACATGGAAGTCATATTAGCGATGTTGAGGAATAATATAAAACTGTTGTTTTCACACAGAACATGAATCAGAATATGGAAAACAAATGTCATCTTCTCTAGCATGGACACAACTTGTCAGTTCTATAATAATGTCAAACATGGAGGTCAAGGCAGGGTACAGTTTACAAATATAGCTGACTAACTTAACAAACATATTTAGGATGTAGATTGTTTTGCTATTGAGTTTACTCACGTTGATATTGTGCACTCCACTTCCCAGCCCAGCTACGTACATTTCTTTCTCAAGACACTGTAATTTAGTAATAAAGAAGTACGGAACTGTAAAATGTATGGTGTACAATACTTAAGCACATGATATTATTAACATTGAATATTATATAATGCAGCACATTACAAAACGCACCTTTCGTAGGACTTCTAAGTGTACGAATATGAACTTCTCTTGTACAACCTGAAACGCGAGAGTATTATGAGTGGTCCTCACTTACTTGTTGACTTTGAGCTAATTGGCAACTTTTAAAACGCTCATCATAATTATTGATATGATTATACAGTTCAAGTCAATGAAATCGACTGTGCTATATGAGGTTCACCACAAGATGTAATAATCCTTAGAAAGTTTGTATTAGTTAAATATATTGCGATATTTGTACAAAGTTAATTTACCTCACGTTCTTGTCTCGGTGCTATTCTACAATCTCTCACTATATACCCTGCAATAGTACAATATTCACACACTGACTACATCTCATCTAATACAACTAAATAATGTCGCAACAATCATGGTCGCGTGAACAATTGTTCGAACCATACCCACGCCTTCACATAACCAGAGAATTTTCTTGAGACGTTTACATCTGCAATCTGAGGATGTTCTTATAACAGGAATAGAAACTGAATCTGTTTACGGATAATAATTAACTTTTCACTTTCAAAAGCTATGTGGTTAATTAATAATTGTAAAGCTTAGCACACGTGTTAGTCACATTTTCGTAAAAAAAGCAAAAACAATGATCAATCATGTGTCTATAATTAATTAAGTATTTGGTTCGCCAATGAACAGTATTCTTGAATTGCTAATTTATTTTCAAAATATCATTCCAATTAAATTTAGAATTACCCTTGTCTTTGCACCAATCACCGAGCGGTATTTCTTTTCTGATGATTGATAAATTTGGTTCATGGGTTGCCAGACCTATTATGGTTGAAATACATTTCATTTATATATAACAATAATACATTAACTCATTATGCCATTGTGAATGACGCCGTTTTAATTATAATTGTTCTAAAATATGAAGAAAATGAATCAGTAATTGTAGCCCTTATATGACAATTTAGTCCAATGGATGTCAATTTGATCAATAATTATAATAATTATATCGTTACACCTCATGTACGTTAGTTTGAACATAATATTACATTAGTCACATGATAAAATTATGTACTCACCCAAGAGAATGAGATCCGCTAACAGGAACAACAAGAGAATTTTATTATGGGAATATGACGCATTTATTAAACATTACAATACAAACGTTGCTCAAACATTACCACATCCCTTGCTTGAGTGGACTAGTTAGGTAACTATCAAGTCGTGCAATTTACTAGTCGTGCAATAGGAAACAAAATTGAAACCAGTCTGCCATTTTTAATCGAAACTTTAACTTACGTTTAAAGGTTGATTTGATCAATATTTTTGAATATCGAAAAAACGAAATTGACATGAACAACGATATCATTATGTTCGGTGTATGTGCACAGCCGAGATTTGCTTGACTTCGATAAAAAATTAATATATTAATTTTAGAGAACGAGTCATATTAGACATACACGAGAAAACACAATGGAAGAATGACTTACCGTCGTTGCTATAGATACAGTGACGCGAGTTAATGTCATGTGTAGGTGTTGCTGATGTAGAAAAGAATAAGAATTTGAGACATTACACAACATGAAATCAACTACTTAACGATACTCATTTTGGGAGCCTGGATGAGCGATTAATTTCCTTCACACCCCCTGACACTGATAATACCTTTCTGTCTTCGAACTATTTCCATAATCTTATGCTCGCCTTCACCTGGAACAGTGGCATCTGACAAAATAACCTTTAAAAACAAACTTTAATTGTAATTGAGATTGCATTACTTGTTAAGGTCTCAATTGATTTTTATTTTCAGCAAATTTATTAGCGTACAATAAATAATTGACGTCATATAAAATACATACCTTAATACCAACCCAACTGGGTTGAGTGTTTATTTTGTTTGCTATGTACTCGTGTAGGTGAACATGCAGTCTAGACATAAACTTGGTGCCCTATAAATGCACACATCAAACATATTACTTTTAAAAATATTAGGATTATTATGTTCATAATTATAACAACTGAAATATTAATTAAAAGTAACCTTAGGAATACTGATGAAAATAAGTATGACAGCTCACCGGACAAATTAGGTTTCTGTTAAATTCTAATTCGTCTGCTGATGATTCAGATTCAGAAAATCCTTTTTCATGCCATATCAAATCTAGTTCAGTGTCTGACATCCTAAAAGATATACATAAACAGTACTAGATGATCGACCCCGTCTCTTTGTATAACTTAATATATCACACCACAGCTTCATAATAACTGGTAGAGTCAAGGTGGTTTGGGAGAGTAAAACCTATTACCATATGACTTATTTTATACTGATGATCACAAAATCACGATACAAAATACTTTTTTATGGAAATTTTTTTTTGGTAATATTTAAAGATAATCACGGGCGACTATAGATTAAAGAATGGTGTGTACAATAGATGAGCATACATGTTAGTTATCTGTCACCCATTGTTGCCAGTAGTATACAATAGAATTTGAGTTATGTGATGAATTACACAGACTGCTCACAGTAAATGCAAATTGAAGTATTTTACATTTGAATATACAATTCAAGGTTACTAACCTCTCCTCCTTGTCACTTAGGAATCTCCGTGATCTCCTGCTATTGTTTTTTGCAAACGGCGTGACACCATCTACTGCAATGTATAACATTTTCTTTGGACGAACTATTTCCATCAACATATCTATGAATTTAGACATTCCCTCAAACTTCTCTTCTTCGTTTATTGGCAAAGGCCTTGAAAACACATAATATTTACATACAAACTTTATTATTATTGCAAGTACATTGGTTAACATTTATTAATAATAACTGATAATACAACAAAGCTGTGTGTCATCTTACAGTTTCATCATGTAAACGATGTATCAATCGTAATACTGATTTTCCAGATATAATACTGATTTTTTGGGGTGACTGGATACTATAACACAATTGTGTAGACATTTCTCTGATGTTGTATAACTTTTCACTGTTCTAGTGGCGACACAATTTGATAAGCAATTTAAGCTGAATGGTGATGCTAGTGATACAGGGGCTGGGGCAGTATTGCTGCAAGGGAATCCCCAAAAAATTTACCATCCCATCTGTTATTTCCCAAAGAGGTTTGGCAAACATAGGAGAAGTTACTCTACGATTGAGAAGGAAACATTGTATCTAACACTAGTATTACAAAATTGTATACCTTAGTTCAACCACACTAGCTGTTATTGTACAAACGGATCATAATCTTACATTCATCCATAAGATGAATAATAACCTGAGATGTAAGGTGGAGTTTGCACTTACAAGAGTTTAATCTTGATTCACATTAGTGGAAAGAATAATGTGATTGCAGTCTGTTTGTCACAAGGTTTTGCATGAAAAAGTTTACTACTGATTAAATAATAGGAATTGCAAGTTATGTTAATGTTTGAAATTTGTGTCTGTTGAGAGTTCAGTTTGAGTAATGCAACTTATTTTCGTCTTACAGTATTTTCATTGTCATAGGAGTTATTGCTATATAGTCACGTACAAATGGAGGCTCAGTATATCACTTAATATGTATATTAGCACAATGTATGGAGTAGAACAAGTAAAATTACAGTTTCATTGCGGAATATGGTAGTAGAACTCCAGAATACGGTTCTCGTTTAGTGGCACCTTCCCTGACCAATGTACAAGCGTTTTTACAGAAAACGTAACACGGCAGGACAGTTCAGACCAGACACAGAGACGTGTCTTCACATGTGTATAGTCAATCAGGCGGGTGGGGGGTGGGGGTTCACAACTTGCACACCAGTCCCGAAAAGCGCACATCACGAGGAGCCTTTTTAATTTTGAAGTTGCAATCAAAATCGTGCAAATGAATAAAAGGAAATATTTTTCTGTTCAACAAGAGTTCATTCTTTCTATTTGCTTATTTTGATACAGTCTCCAACTACAACGTGTCACCGAACGAGCACAACCACATACTGGCATAAATGCATAGTGGATCATGAAGTATCATCTCCATCTTTCAAATTGAACGATTGTTCAACACCACCTGCACGACTTGCAGCAGGGGGATTAAAATGCCACTGGATATTTATTCTAAGTCTATTATAAATACAACTTTGGTTCCGTTAGCAAGTATCTGTTCCAGGTTAGTCTCAGCTCTCAGAAATGGTCCCATTATTACTGTAGAGATGGGCAGGTGGTCCATGCCGACTAATGAATCACCACACATTTGATATGAACAGCCTGAATAGAGCCATGCAGGTGAACATGTATCCATATCACTTAATGGTACGTCTTCTGTACTTAACATACAGCAATCCAGAAATAGAAAAAAACACATAACAATACATAACATAAGGTTGCCATAAGAATGCTGGACCATGGAACCTTGGGGACGACGTGGCATCAAAATATGCACCAACATTTGGTGATCAGCTGGATCTTTAGACAAATGTTCCTCTGGCCAACATAAGAATCTCGGCGCATTCACAGTCCGCCAACTTTACCTTAACTTCATGGAACATTTGTTTTATATCAGCAACAATGGCAACTGGCTTCTGGAAGAAATGCTCTCACAAGGGGATCATTAAGATCAAGGCCTTGCTGAAGAAAATCATTGAGAGATTTATTTGGCAGCACAGTCAAACACAACTGTCTGGTTTATTCAGACGAATTACTAAATAAGGAAGTAAATACCAGATGGAACCAGACTTTGTTGCTGACAAATACTCATCCATGCAGGAGCTTTCAATATACGCCTCTTCAGTAGCTTCAACCTTCTCAGTGTAAGTTATGTTTTGTTGGCTAAGCATGGATCATCACATCGTCAAGGAACTGATTGTCTTCGCTCTCCATTTTTTTTAGCAACATGCATGCCCTGATATCAAACAATGACTTTGTGAAATCTGCGTTGTACATATGAGGAGCTGAGGAGTTAGGTTCAAGACACTGGATCAGGGTATTACAGTTCTAAACTTGATACACATCAATATAATTTATGCTGGTGCCACCACACATCTTTCATCATTCCCAATAAAGAGAGTGACTTCTTTAACTTCTATTTCTAGCAATTGTATATCAGGTCATATCCATCTTGGTCAGAATACTGTCAACTTCTATCGGTAACCTGTCCATGATCTAGTCACACATTATGGATCAAGTTTAGTCCTCTCAAATCTATTTGTACTTTATGACCATTAATCTGCTTATGTGCAATCGGTGTGGACAATGGGTGACAGAAGGTTTACCAGTAATTCAACTTATCAGCAAGGCTGTTAAGGCAGATAGACGATGTATCAATTCTTTGGCCTCCATCTACCCAACGTAAACGAACAGGAATCACATGCAAACTTATATAAAAAGCATATCAAATGCATGCTGAGTTTGATGTTTCAAGATGAAGCAAAGGATTATGTCTTCTGCCACGGCCTATGCTAGAGCAAATACGTCCAATTTCTAACCAAGTGGTAAGTTTTGCGTCTAGGCAATAGTTATATAGCCTGCGCTCCCTCGCAAAATCCTTTATCTTTTGGAATGGTTTGAGCGTAAATTTATGACGATTTTCAAATGCAAGGCTACCACTGCAAAACAGACCTCTTGCTATTGATTCAGGTCATGCAAATTTGAAAGGTGTATTATCTATATATGTAGCTAATGTAGTAGCTTTAACTGAATGATGTCTTGGTCTGTCCTTTTTTCTATCTGGCTTAGATACTGTCAATTCACCAAATCTTGTATTTGCAATCTTGTATTTGATCTGTTCTTCAGAAATCAGGTAAGATGCAGTAATCGAGTTTCAGTGCCTACACTGATTACCTTGGCAGTTTACTCGACCGTATCTGCTTGTAAGTATTATGGTAACGACATAACAGCTTTTACCAGATATCCATTGAATTGATATAAGCATGTAAATTCATTTACTAATGTGACAATTCTTCATATCACGAGCCATTTTCTGAAACTTCATATGCCTTCATCTGAGGGCCTTTCACCACGTTGTCATTAACCAAAGCTTGAAGAGATGGTGTTCCATGCTTCTGTATATCCTCTCTCTGGAGGAAGAATGACACAGTTTTTGGTTGCCTCTTTAGCTGCACCAGTGCAGTATTAGATAAAATAAGATAGTTTTACGTTATCATCCTATCAGTAATGGTTTTATGTTCACCTCAAAATTTCTTATAAATGTTGAATATGCAACTGATTCACTATCAAATGTGGGAAACTCATGTTTTGGTAGACTCAAGTTAATGGCTAATACTTTGGCTGTCTCCAACTGATTCTACACAGTGCAGTTTCTGCAATTGGTATGATTCTGGGAGAAAGTCACCATAACCTATCATCTCGTGCTCTATAAGTCTTCTACTGTCATCAACAATGTTCACTGGTACCATGTACATTGTCATTGGAGTTTGTATGTTGTGGACTTGTTGCACCTGTAGTACTCAATGTACTGAACTATATGATTGTATATATGATTGAAAATAATTGCTCATCCTTCCTTGTTTGGTCTGCCTCTGCAAACCAGGAAGTTTATCAGACTTCTAGTCTGGTTCAATTTCTTTATCGATAAAGTCTACTTCAATCTCAGCATGTCTTAACTGACTTTGAGGTTGAATGATTAGCATTCCTGCTTCCTGCTGCTCCATTTCTTGACGCATCTGAAGTAGAAGTTTTTCGGTTTCTTCCCTGAGCTGCAACTCTTTTATGCGTTTAATGCTTCATCTGTTGTCAACCTTGAGCTAGTCCAACTCCCACTGGTCAAAGCACGTTCACTCTTTGCATCTTTGGATCACAACTTATCATTGTATTGGAACCACTACTAACAACATTATCAGTATTCAGATCCAACATTTCTTCTTTGCCAGTATCTTGTTTTCTTGTGGAAGTCGAGGCCAAGTCAAAGTGGCCCGATCAACTGAGGCATTTGGCTCTGAGGTAAGAGTTAGCATATTGACTCTCTTCCTCAGGAAAATACATGTTCCAATGCGTCTTCCATTTAGCCATCCATTTCTTCCTTTGGGCTAGACCAATCCATTGCTTGAAATATCCATTCTCTGTGTCTCTGATCAAAGTACTTCTTTCTTTCAAGCTCAACCTCGATCCACTTCCGACAACATCGCTTGCCAACGGCGGTAAACACTTCACGACAGGTTTTCTTATATGTGTTGCTTAAATGTGTTTAATATTTTCTCAAGAGTACATCTTTTGTCGCTTACTTCATGGTCGACAGCTTTAGTGGACATGATACTGTCTATCTCAGTGTGGACTCTGGTGAGATTACTGCCATATAAAGCTGTTGATTTTTTATGTATCTTCTCAAGTTGCATACTGGCTCGGTCCAGATCAAATAAAGTAACACTATTTTGTGGGTATCTCGGCACATACCCAAGCAGACACTGAGACACGTCTACACTCATCAAAACCACATGCAGAACTGAAGACAATAGCACAGCCTAGCATAGAATAGAGTTCACCTCAGGTCAAACAGGTGAAACAAAGGATGCAGTCACTGGCAGGTTTCACTTGGAAGATTGTAAGTATATTTACATTAACACTTACCCACTGTCTGACAACAATAATGTATTATATCATTCATATCCAGATATAAGTTATCAAACCCATCACAATGCTGAAACAATATAAATAAAATTATTCTCATGTCACACTTACTTACACAATGATTGTCATAGCTTGGTAATGTGATTGTATTACAGTAGGATTATTTGTAAATTTTATCTCTAATTAAATTTAGATTTTGGTCAGATTTCTACAGGGGAAATTGGAGAAATAATGCACAGAATACTGAATTTAATAATGTAGGTTTAAGAATTAGATAAAGAATCCTCAGGGCATGGTTATTCCAAATAGTGGATTATCGTTGAGTACATTTAACCGTTATATCCAAATGGTGTTTTTTAAGCATTTTTTAGGGTTGAGTGTGTTGCGGTATTTAATATTACGCCAAAATAATGTAGTATACAGTAGAAAGGCGGGCAGAACAAACATACAACGTATATTTGTATACACTAAACACAATACGAGACGATACCCCTCCCACCACTTACACATATAGGCTAGGTGTACAGTTTATTATAATTCCTGGGTTCCCTGTGGTTATGATTTGATTCCGTCTCGTAAGTTTCACCCCTAACATAAATACCTCCCGGCTTCATAACGCTATTGATAGAGCGCCTTCACATCAGTGCAATAATTTCCCGTATCACGCCTGCGGCTGTCATCATTCTGAACAAAACGCCATAGTAACAGTGTAATTACACCTATATAGTATATGGTAAAACCTTTATGAACTGGATACGTGCCTCGCAAGCTCACGCGCTTCTGCCGAACGACGTCGTGTTGCAAAAGCCGTATCCTGTCCATAATGAATATTATTAAATGGCAACACGCAATCTAAAACGACGTCAAAATTATCGATTTATGAATATCATAAAATAAACAACAG